CCCCAAAACCCCAAAACCCCAAAACCCCAAAACCCCAAAACCCCATAATCAAAATTCAAATTTGAAAAATTAGTGCTTATTTATTATTAATCCATGTAGAATTGGCACTATTAAGGCAAAAACTTTTCATCATTGGGCCCATTGAATTTAGTGTTCCTCCTCTTTCGCCTAGCATAGACTTGTGATGTTTCGCATTTATCGAATACTTGTTGTCGCTAATGGTAGACTCCCCGTGGTTAGTAAACCCATCTATGGCTCCCTTCTTCTTCGCCATTGGAATACTAGAGTATTTGCAAGAACTTCTATGCTTTTGACTTCCATCATTTCTTTTAGAGGTCTTTAAAGACTTCCTTGCCTTCTTACAACCCTTCCTTGACCTCTCGTTGTTCAGAGACGTTGAGATATTTCCCTTGTTGATCTGGGTAATCCTTCTGATTTTGTGAGGATTATCTGTAGTGTTTGACCTACTATGCATCGAGCTCTTGCTCTTGGCCTTATAATGCTGCCCACTCTTGGAATGAATGATCTTCTTGAAATTCTGATTATAGGCCTTTGAGTGAGAAGCATTGTGGGATTTCTCTTCCTTAGGGGAGTGCAACTGATGGATCAGGGAAATCAACTGTGTTGCGAAAGTATTCTGGCTTGTGTTGTCAATAGTATTAGATTCATATCCAAGTCCGACAGACAAATGATGCTTCTTACTCTTCCTTTTAGTACTACCATTTCTTTTGCAAGATTTTGTTTTCTTGTGAGAAGGAACATTTGTATCCTGATTTTCTTTATTTCTGTAGATGTTAGAGTTGACTTCAGAGTTTGCTATATTTTCAACTACATCAGTCCATGACGAGATTTTTGAAGAGGCCAATCCAGCATTCTTAACCATTTTCCTATAGGTTTTGTCAAGTTTCTTCGCATTCTCTTTATATTCAAAAGGAAGGTTCTCTCGTCTAGATGTATGGGGACTATACATCTTTGACTTAGTACTATATTTTAGTCAGAGGAGTCACGAAAACTATTACCCATATTTGGTCAATGACCTAGTGCCAGAGTTAGTCTTGGGTTTTGAGCTTGATCTCTTGCTATTCTGCTTCTTCTTATCATTCTTCCTAGAAGAAGTGAATTTCAAGCTCTGGTTTAGCTTGAAAGCTAAGGAGGGATCGTTCTTATCCTTTTTAATAATTCATTTCTTGCTCAGTAATTGGATGTTATTTGTTTCCTTTGGACTCGTTGGGCCAGAAAATTTATTCTTTTTCGGAAGGGACTGATGGGTCTGATACAGCAAAGTAGGGTTTCAAGACCCAACCAGTTGATTGTATCTCGAAGCCTTATTGTGAGAACTATTTTGAACGCTAGTAAGATTATTTTGGAACCTTAGAAACGTTATTTAACTCGATGGTTAAATTCTTCTCTTTCCTACTTTTCTTTGATTGGCTGTTCCCTCTGCTCTTCCTTCCTGATTTCTTGCTGACAGATCTTGAATGTAGTGAAGTCTTCTTGCAAGAATGCTGTTTTGAGTTGATCACAGATTTAAACCATGCTTGGTCAGTATTGTTTGAAATTGGGAAGTCTGGATTCTTATTTTTCATTTTCTGTTCAAGACCTTTATATCGCGCAGCCTCAGAAGTAGCCTTCACCGCTTTAGCCTTCTGGGTCAGCTGTTCAAGAGATATTGGCTGAGTATCAACACTTCAATTTGAATTCGTGTTCAAAATTACCTTTGCCCGATTGGTGCCATCCCCCTTAGTAAACTTGAAAAGTGTTGATTGTCTTTTATGTTTAGATTTCCTGCTCTTAGAATTTGTACTAGTCCTGGTATCAGATTTTGAAAACTTGTGCTTGTTCTCTTCATCAAAAGTCTTGATCAAGGAATCATCGAAAACTTTCTTGTCCTGAATTCTTTCAATATTACTATTAATTATAAAATTTTTGCTCAGGATGATAGGCTCTTCGTGAGTTACTCTCTCCTTGCTCTTAGAATTTTTTCTAGGGAAAACGAAATTCTTACTCTTAGCTTTACTGAATTTATTTTCAATTTCTTCCTTGAATTCAGCTAGCTCATGTTCAACTCTTTCATTAACGTATCTGCTTCAGTAGAGTTGTTGCCATTCGAAATCTTTGCTCATATTTCATAGTTTTCCATCTCTAGTTCACTGGTAACTCCAGCCAATGAGCTCATTAGAAGAGGTTGTCTCTGAAATGAGGGAAATTTTACTTGAAGAAATTGAGGATGATCTCATTTTTCCTTTCTTAATATTGATCTGCTCGAATTCAAATTTATTCTTGGGCTCCATGAAAGACAGATTTCCCATATTTTGATCGATTTCTATGCTGCTCTCATGGGTTCCTGTCACATTATTCAAATAATTCTGATATTGGTCGGTACTACTCGTTTTCACACAGGATCCATCATTACCCTCTATAGAAGTAGCAATTGCGTAAGTATCTCAATATTCCTGGTTGATCCTACTAGGAGTAGACTTCTCACGGTTAGATTTCTTCGGTAATTTTCCTCTGAACTGAAGATTTTTCTTTAATTTTGCCTCTGCATTTTTATTTGAAAATTCCTCTAACCTTAATTTATGCGAATTCTTCTCACCGGCAGAGATATCATTGACTGCAATTGAGGAAGGCTCATACAAGGACACGTTCATATTATTGTTACTACTGATAGGTTGTATTTCTTGCTTGCCTCTTGGTTTTCTACCCTTGCTTTGCTGCTTCTTTGTCTTCCTAGATGATTGTCTGGGCTTCCATTCATACCCTTGATACTTCTTTGTATTATCATATGTTTGGCTGACTTCGATATTCATATTCAGAAGAAGATCGTCCTCCCCAGAATTGAGGTTATCTTCTAGTAGCAAATGATTATTGCCTCTGCTGCACTGATTTGTGTTTGGTTTGAATGCCCTATCGTTGACGGACCTGTTTTGCATCAATTTTAGTAATTTAATTATTTAAATTTGCAATTAGTTTGCAATTAACAGGGGTTTTGGGGTTTTGGGGTTTTGGGGTTTTGGGGTTTTGGGG